CCCCAAAACCCCAAAACCCCTCAATTCAAAATATATTGATTTAAATTGAGTTCATAAATATTTTTTTTATTTTATTCTTATTAATGAAAAAGTTATGAGTTACTTCAGCAGAAAAAATCACTTTCCATATCAAATTTCTAAATTCCTATATGACTTTCCCTTACTTCTTCTAAATCATCACTCTCATTGCTAGTCTAACTGCTCATCATAATTCCCTTTCCTTAAAATTTCTTAGCGACTAATACTATTTAATTATTTTTCTCATCTTCCTCACCTTCTCCTTCATACTCAGCACCACGTTTCTTCAAGAACTTCTTATAATTTTTAGCCAGTGCTTCCTTTTTAATCTTTATCAGTTCTTACTAAGTAAGGACTCTATGATTACCCAAATGCTGCATGTACATTTATTATAACTAATGCACTCCATTCTAACTCTCGTAAGGATTATCAAATTTTATGCAGCAGCCAGTCATATCAAGTTTTCTTAAGTTCGCGAGTTTAATTCTCTTCTTTATTTTGTAATAATTCATTTTCACTTGATCAAATTTAACTTTAAACACCTCCAAGTTTGGAAAGACATTGCATCTTAATACTGCATCAACAGAGGGATCAGTTGTATATCCAGACACTGATAGAAGCCTAAGATCTTTTCTAAACTTTCTACCTTCTTATATAACCTTCCGCAGCACATCTATTCTCTAAGCAGGAGGAGTTTTCTTTAGAGGATGCTTTAAAACCAACTCTTTAAGATTATCAGTAAACATCTAGAGATAATCCTTTTTAATAAAGACATCGTCCAAATATGCTCTCTTTACATGAGCAAATAATCTATCACATAAATTCTTAACTTAAATCTTGCAACTTATTAGTTTTATATACTCACATTTCATTACCTAGTCTTATCTTTATACTTTAAAATCACAGTTTCTTGCTCTTAGAATTTTAGGAGCAGAGACTAAATAGCAAGATGAAGATTTCAAAGTCAAAAAACAAGTATCTAACCGCACCTCTCTTACCTCATAATAACCAAGCAACTCCATGAATTTCTCAGCTTCATTATCCTCATCCAAGAAATTATCAATGTCAATATCCATAACTATTTTAGGCTGAAACAAACGAATATTTGCCAGCATATAATCATAGCACACACCCTTGCTAATTTTCAAATGAAGTAAATTTATGTGTTTTGCTATCCAACAAGGCTTCTTTGATGATAGCTTTGGGGGCACTGGCTTTTGCAAATAAGTATCAAAATCTTACTCAATAATAAATTTTCTCTCAGGAATCATCATAGTCACAACTTCGTAAATTTAGCTTCATACTTCTCAATTAAAATAACCAATTTTCAGTAAAATCTCACCCAAAGTATTGTACTGTATAATTGTCCAGAGTAATTTACCTCTTAAAAACTCAATCGTCATAATGTTGTAACTATTGTTCCAAATTATAATATGAGTCAAAGTCTAAATCTGATTCTAAAAATTGTCCCTTTTTAATCTCTCTTGAGTAGTAGTTTAAGCTTTTGATAAAGAAACTTATAATTTTCCATTCAAACAAACAAAAA